GCTACAAGGACATGGAAGTGCTTCCTTAAATGCTGGATCACCAGTGACCTGTAAATTCTGCTGAAACGTGAAGGTAAAGAGCCTTCATCTGGCAAGAAGACCCCTTGAATATGAGGAAAAACAAGGACCGGCACTGGTTTATTTAGAGCATCTGAGAGCATCTTCTCAGGGTTAGGCTAAAGTTAAGGTAGGGCTCCTAATACATACTAACATTGTGGAAAAAAGAGAAGAAGCCCAAGAGTCTTCAGCTATTAGGCAAAAAGGCACCTGTAGGGACTGGACCAGGACCAGGACCAGGACCAGGACCAGGACCAGGAGCTAACCCCACCTGGACCCTGTTGTACTAGTATTCCTCGTCATGATATTCCTCTGGACTACTACTACTGTGTATGTTCTACCAGTCTGTGATAGCCAGCGTCCTCTTCTACACCGTGGTGTGCAGGGGAGGTAGCACATCCAAGAAGGACACGTCCAGACTGGACAAACTGATCAGGCGGGCTCGTGGTCGGCATGAAGCTGGACTCTCTGGTGACGGTGGCAGAGGCCAGGACACTGAACAAACTGATGGACATCATGGCCGACAGCAGCCAGAGGAGCCTGTTCAGGGACAGACTGCTGCTTCCCAAGTGCCGGACCAATAGACTTAAGAACTCTTTTGTCCCCCACGCCATCAAACTGTACAACACCTCACTGGGGGAGAGGAGGTGAACCAGGACAGGGGGAAGAGATATCACATACACACACACGGTACTTAATCTGCATTTTTTAGATTTTTATTTATTTATTTGTATATTTTTGCTTAAACTGATTCTAACTTGATACTTTTTGCCCTGTAAGCTGCTGGTAACCTTAATTTCCTGTCGTCCCAAGGGATCAATAAAGTACTGTCTAAGTCTAAGTCTATGTCTCTATAGAGGAATGGAGTGGGGCTGTGTATCTAACATCATGTTATTGTGGGATTTAATAGGTTGTTTTGTTGTTTTTTGTGCTTTTTCTTTGTAAGATTTTTTTCCATTTTTTATGCTGTTTTCATGCTATTTCAACAGGTTTTTAATTTTTGGTTATTTTTTGTGACGTCTACTTCAATTATTAGTTTTTTTATTTTGTTTTGTCTTTAAATATGTTAATATCTTATATATATATATGATATAAAATATTGTAAAACATATTGATAAAATATTTATTCAATATCTGAATATTGAATATGTAAATATATTTAGTATTTAAGATTTTAATTATTTTTTTATTAAATGATTTGGTATTACAACGTATTGCTCGTTTTTTGTTTTTCAAGTTTTTGTCCAGTTTTATGTTCTTTTATTATTTTGTTAATGTGTGTTTTATGTGTTCTGTTGTCGTGTTGTGTTGTGTTTTTGTTCTATTAAGCAGCTTTTTTAAATCATCTGCCACCAATGGGAGGTGTTTGTTTGGGTTCCACCAATCAGACAGCGCAGGGTGGTCACATGACCTCAGAGGGCCTAAAAAGGAGGCAACAAGGCTGAACATCCCTGTTGTCACATCCAGTCCAGGTTTCCCTCCATGTGACCCTCCTGGTGTCTTCATGTGAGCCCTTTCTAAAGCTAAGGAGCCCTAACTCTGCTCCTCTTCCACAGAACTGCCTGAAAACGAGCCAGAAACCAGCATCCTGATCAGCTCTGACATGTAGTTTCCAACTAGCTGTGAGCCTCTGATCAGAACCAGAGAGGAAACAAGTCACTATTTCTGTTTTTTACCTCCAGAATCAGCTGTAAATGTCAGTAAATTACAGCAGATATTACAGAAATCCGTGTACAAATACATGATAATGTGTTCAAACATCTGGGGATCTTCTCAGACCTCTGGCTTTATGAGCAGTCAGACTGACCTGGAGGACAGAAAATGGGCAGTCAGTTTATTTAGGAAAGATTTAAGATTGAATGTATTCTTTAGTTCATATCTGTATTTTTCTTCTAGTTTTTTCTTCCATTTACACCCTGGTTGTTAATCAATAAATCATCTGTTACTCAGCACTTTCTACTCCGACTCAAGTCCTTATTTGCACTGATACTTTTTTATCACTATATATATATATATATATATATAATTACATGGGTTTTTTGGGGGATGGACAGGTTTCTTTATTAAGCTAACGGCCTCCAACAGGTGTGTCTAATTTAGGATAATAATGGAGTGGGGGTGGACATTTTGAGGGCAGTTTAACAGGTCTTTGAGGGTCCTAAGTCTTGCGGATAGACAGGTGTTCAAATACTTATTTGCAGCTGTATCATAATAATAAATAGTTTAAAACTAAAGATTTTTTTTTTAGATCATGTCTCTCATAGTGGACTTGCACCTATGATGACAATTTCAGACCCTTCCATGACTTCTAAGTGGGAGAACTTGCAAAATAGAAGAGTATTCAAATACTTATTTTCCTCACTGTATATATATATATATATATATATATATATATATATATATATATATATAT